TGGAAAGAATGAAGAAAAACACGCCATGCAAAACAAGAGCTGCTGAGAAAACCACCTTAAGAAAGACCACTAGCTTCCCAGTCGTGACGGGGAGGACAGGGCCACTGAGAAAAACCCAACTCCAGTGTCCAAAACCACAGGACTGGTCAGGACCGAGTACAGAAAGCGTTGCTCTTGCAATCCCTGTATATTAAGAGAGGCCGTCCAGTTACATGAGGCCACTTCCAGGGACAGGTATGCACAGAAGATAGCACGCTGAAGCAAAGGCTTCAGGGTGACAGCTAAAGCTAAGCGTGGGAAAGTAACGAAGAAGAGTGCTCGCCATCCCGGTGATGTGTAAAGGGCCATCGGAGTGGTAGAAACATTCAAGCCCTACTCAGCTTCTGCCCGAGGGAACCCAACTGCCCTCCCGCAACACTCACACAAACCACCCCGCTAAAGGCCTAATGGGAACGGAGTGGATTCTGTTTTCAGGCGTGTTATGATTTACGCCAGTCTCTGTTACTAAAGGTGGCATTTCACAATCCAGGCCACCCATTCACCACAGTCTCATAAAGCCGCAATACATTTTCTGCTTCAGCAGACCAAATGTGTTTTACAAATAGTGCACCAGATTGAACGGAATTCCTTCCAAACCCATGTCCATCAAGAATCTGTGAATATGCACTTATTCGGAAAGAGTCTTAACAGATATAACAATTTAAGGTCATACTAGAGAGGAATGACCCCCAAAATCTTTTAGAAAGAGGAAACTTAGGACATGGGGACACTTAAGGAAAAAGCCAGGTGACAGCTGAAGCACAGACCAGAGCTGTGCTGCCACACACCAAAGAACAACTGGTCAACTGAAAGTCACCTGATGCCATTCTTGCTCAGCGCCAGCATGGAAGAAACTTTGCCGACAGACTCCAGTTAACACTTCACTCAATGAGTAAACTGGGAAATGAATTAAGTATCTATAGAACATCTGCAGAAGTTAAATAGATAAAATATAAACTGGCATTTTCTTCAAAGGAGTATCACATGGAGTATCATGAAACTCCCTGTTTTAACCGTGCCAGCACCAAAAGAATAAATAATGTATGACCCATTGACAAAAGTTGAAATGAAAGAATAGCTAGTAAAACCTAGTATGGCAACACAGGACAGGATTCCATCAAAATAGGAGACACCCCAGAGACGGAGGGAGATGGCATGAAAATGGGCACTTCACACCACTAGACCTAGCAGATGCTTATTTGATTTCTTGCTTCATAATATTTCATTTAACAATATGCTTGTATTTTGTCTACTTTTATTCAGATATTTCACAATTTAAGGGAAGGGGGGAAGGGGGAAGAAAATAAAGCCACCTGGGGGAGAGAGAGAGACACACACAGAGAGAGAGAGAGAGAGAGAGAGAGAGAGAGAGAGAGAGAGAGAGAGAGAGAGAGAGAGCACGTGCAAGGGGGGGGTGCATCAGCAGCCAAGTGAGAACCCTGAAAGCATACACAGCTGCTCCCAGAAACTATCTTGGAAGTGCCTCAGGGCATGGCAGGAGATGGTGACAGCACCAGTGCCACAGTTGGCCCAGGTCATGCCTGGAGACAGCGTCAGCACTGAAGTAGGCCGAGGTGGCAGCTGTGGCTGCCAGAATCTATCCAACCACTTGAGCCTCAGCTACAGCCCTGCCTGCACCTTAAGGATCAATCACTGGAGTCCTGGCCTGGCCCCCACCTACACTGAGAGGAGAGACCATGTGACCTTGGGCCCATAAACACATGGGGGGAGCAATCACCAGAGGCTCCACCCTGCCAGTGCCTGAAGGAAAATTCAATGGAGCCGGTGCCCCCAACTACACCAGTTGGAGGAACAGGGAGCCCCCTCCCCAAGCGCAGTCTCCTCCTCCTGTACTGACTTCAGGATGTCCGGGTAGACAACAAAGTAAGATCACACTCAACAACATAAAGAGCAATATGGCACAACCAGAAACTGGTGGTTCTACAGCAACAAGACCTGAACATCCCAACGCAGATGGGGCAGAAGAAAACAACCTTGAAAATAACTTTATGAAGATGACTGAAGCCCTTAAAGAGGAAATGAAAAAAAATCCCCTTAAAGAAATGGAGGAAGCCGGGCGGTGGTGGCGCACGCCTTTAATCCCAGCACTCGGGAGGCAGAGGCAGGTGGATCTCTGTGTGTTTGAGGCCAGGCTGGACCGATAGCCTCCGAAACAATACAGAGAAACCCTGTCTCGTAAAAACCAAAAAAAAAAAAAAAAAAGAAATGGAGGAAAAGACAAGAAAAAAATTGGAAACAATCAACAGTTCCCTTAAAGAAAAAGCAGTCAAATAGGTGAAGGAGATGACTCAAGACATGGAAACTGAAGTAGAGGCAGTAAAGAAAGCACAAACTGAGGGAGCTCCAGTAATGGGAAATCTGGATAAACAATCAGGAACTGCAGATGCAAGCATAAACAACAGAATACAAGAGATGGAAGAGAAAATCTCAGGCATTGAAGATATGATAGAGGAAATAGATTTATTGGCCAAGGAAAATGTTAAATCCAACAAACTCTTAACAAAATGTCCAGGGAATTTGTGACACCATGAAAAGACCAAACCTGAGAATAATGGGGATAGAAGAAGGAAAAGAATGCCAGCTCAAAGGCACAGGAAATATATTCAACAAATCATAGAAAAAAACTTCCCCAACTACAGAAAGACATGCCTATGGAAGTACAAGAAGCTTACAGAACACCAAATAGAATGGACAAAAAAAAAGTCCCCTCACCATATAATAATCAAAACACTAAACATACAGAATAAAGAAAGAAGATTAAGAGCTGTAAAGGAAAAGGGGCAAGTAACATATAAAGACAAATCTATCCGAATTACACCCAACTCCTCAATGGAAACAATGAAAGCCAGAATGTCCTGAACAGACATTATATAGACACTAAGAGACTATGAGTACCAGTCCAGACTACTATACCCAGCAAAGCTTTCAATCATCATAGACAGAGAAAACAAGATATTCTGTGACAAAACTGGACTTAAGCAATGCCTCTCCACAAATCCAGTTCTACAGAAAGCACTAGAAGGAAAACTCCAACCCAAGGAAGTTAGCTGTACCCACAAAAGAACAGGCAATCCCACACCAACAAATACTAAAAAAGGGAAACAAATATGAGCTACCACCAAAAAATAACAGGAATTAACAATCACTTATCATTAATATCCCTTAATATCAATGGACTCAGTTCTAAAAAAAAAAAAAGACACAGGCTAACAGAATTCATATAAAAACAGGGTCCATCCGGCTATAGCATACTAGAAACGTAACTTAACCTCAGACATTACCTCAGAGTAAAGGGTGGGGAAAAGACTTTCCAATCTGATGGACCTAAGACGCAAGCTGGTGTAGCTATCCTAATATCTAATATCTAACAAAACAAACTACAAACTAAAGGGAATCAAAAGAGATGGAGAAGGACATTTCACATTCATTGCAGGAAAAATCCACCAAGATGAAGTCTCAATTCTGAACATCTATGCCCCAAATATAAGGGTACCCTCATTTGTAAAAGAAACATTACTAAAGCTTAAGTCACATATAAAGCCCCATACACTAATAGTGGGAGACTTCAATACCCCACTTTCACCACTGGACAGAAACTCCCTCAGACAGAAGCACAACAGAGAAATAAAGGAACTAACACAAGTTATAACTCAATTGGATTTAACAGACATCTATAGAACATTCTACCCAAACACAAAAGAATATACCTTCTTCTCAACACTCCATGAAACCTTCTCTAAAACTGACCACATGCTCAGTAACAAAGCAAACCTCAACAGATAAAAAGAAAAATAAGGAATAACCCCCTGTATCAGATGAGATCACCATGACTTAAAGTTAGAATTAAAAAAACAACACTATTTGTAGATAGCCCACAAACTCATGGAAACTGAATAATGTTCAACTGAATCACCACTGGATCTAGGAAGAAATAAAGAAATTAAAGACTTCCTAAAATTCAATGATAATGACAACTCAACATACGCAAACTTAAGGGACACAATGAAAGGAGAGCTTAGAGGAAAGTTCATAGCACAAAACGCCTACATGAAAAATCTGGAGAAATCCCACACTAGCAAATTAACAGAACAACTGAAAGCTCTAGAACAAAAAGAAGCAAACTCACCCAGGAGGAGTATGTGGCTAGAAATAACCAAATTGAGGATTGAAATCAATAAAATGAAAACAAAGGAAACAATACAAAGAATCAATAAGTCAGAGTTGGTTCTTCAAGAAAATCAACAAGATAGAAACCTTTATCCAAACTAACCAAAAGACAGAGAGAAAATATCCAAATTAGCAAAATGAGAAATGAAAAGAGAGACAAAACAACGGACACTGAGGAAATCCAGAGAATCTTCAAAAGCCTGCACTCACAAAATTGGAAAATTTAAAGGAAATGATCAGTTTTCTGGATAAGTACCACATACCAAAGTTAAATCAAGACCAGATAAACAGATTAAATAGACATATAGCCCCTATGGAAATAGAAACAGTCATGAAAAGTCTCAAAACAAAACAAAACCCAAGGGCCAGATGGTTTCAGCATAGAATTCTATCAGAACTTCAAAGAAGAGCTAATGCCAATACTCCTCAAATTGTGAGGCTAGTTACCCTGATATCCAAGACACACAAAGATACAACTAAGAAAGAATATTACAGACCAACTTTTCTCATGAACATTGATGCAAAATACTCAGTAAAACACTGGCAAACCAAATCCAAGAACACATCAGGCAAACACCCATACACATAATAAAATTTTAAATTAAGTCAGTGGGCTGCTTAATCTCCTTAGCAGATGTCTCAGCACAAGTATAGACAGAAAATATTTACGTTTATGGCACTGGTATTTAAAATTTACTGTGAAACAAAACAAGAAAAATAATGAGTGAGGAGGGGCACAGAGCATGGAGAGGAAAAAAAACAGGTGCTGTTACCTGGAGTCTTGTATTCATTTCCAAGAAGTAAAAATTCTTCTGGGAGTCCACCAGAAATTCCACAGTTCCAGCAGAGGAATACTGCACAGCTTTAGCCAAAGCCACAGCCTGCTCTCCCATTGCTCGGCGAGTCTCGTGATCCAGAAAAATGCTACAAATACACAAAGCACTAAGCTGCAAAGCCTTGGTGATCTTTTAAGGGCTTACATAAAACTGCTACACAGGTCTGTCTGTATCAGTTTAGGAGCTGGTCCTGTTGCAAGGCAGAGACTGTGTCCTGTGGGACATGCTTCACCAATGTGACATGCCTCACCAATCCAACATAAGGTTTTATGGAACATTTCATCTTTTCATATTACCATACAGCTTCATTTCTAAAATATACAATAACTTTTACCTGGTAAAACTGAACATATGTACTAGGAGTTACTTCAAGCTAAAAGTAAATGAAAATAGCTTAACGGAGAATTGACATACACAATCCTTGTTTTACATAGATTCTGTATGTGCAAACTTGCCTACTTGCTATAACATATGTGCCCTTTAAAATACATATTTTAGCACCTTTGTGCATACATGAACAAGCAGAGAAGAAAACTGTCAGAAGCTGAGGATAAACAAATGATGTTCTCTCTTCCTATTCTAGGGTTTATATTTCATCACTGTCATCTCCAAGGAGAGAGAGAAAGACCCTGCTTGAGAGACCCTTGACCTTCATGCTTAGGTGTTATCTGGGCTTCTAAGAGCATAATGGCCGTGAAACATCTTATGGTGAACGCATACATGTAACGTAAGCCTAAAAAGAAATGTATTGAAGTCTTGGATTACCATTAAAATAGGTCTTCTTCAACTGGAACACACAGAAAACAAGGGTCTATACTGATCAGGTAGTCACATTTATACATTATGTGAAAATTCTATGGCCTGAGGCTCGAAGGAGCCCAAACCCGTATATCCCCTAGGAAAGACAGTTTGATATTTGATGTGGGATGTCCTTCTGTATTCTGTGAATATGTGCTGCTTTTATAGGTTAATGAATAAAGCTGTTTTGGCCTATGACAACACAGAATATTGCTAGGCAGGAAATCCAAACAGAGATAGAGAAAGAAAAAAGGCAGAGTTGAAAGACCACGGTAGAAGTAAGATACCAAAGCATTACCGGTAAGCCACAGTCATGTGTGGGTTGCACAGATCAGTAAATGAGGGTTAATTTAATTGTAAGAGCTAGTTGGTAATATGCCTGAGCCATTGACCAAATAATTATAATTAATGTTAAGCTTGGAGTGTTTATTCAGGAACTGATGAGTGGGATGAGAAAACAGACTGCAGAGACCTGTGGGCAGGAGAGAAACCAGTCCAGTGGGACCTGGTAAGACAGAGACAAACCTCCAACCACAAGCATTTGTTAATTCAGTGTCCACGGTGCCTTTGTAGAACATAACTAACTGCATTGAATAAACCTCTAATGCCTGTCACTGTCTCACAGGCAGGTCAAGCTAGAATGTTTTCAATAAACCTTGTTTAAATGAAGGGAAATTGTGTGTGTATGTGTGTGTGTGTGTAATGTAGACATATACCTACACATCATATACATATTCATATACTTGAGACAGAGAGTGAATGCCAAATAGCCAGTATTTACGGGTTCTTTATGAGAAAGGCTCTGAGAAATCAACATTAACTACATTTCTATTTGCAGGTCAATGCATTACTTGCATAAGATGTATCAGACATACCATATTCATGATGGGATGGGATGCAGAACTTGTATGCACCTTTCTTTGGTATGTAACCATTTACAAAGAGCCTTGGTTTACCTGTGTTACATGATCACTTTCCTGCCAGACTCACTGGTTTTTGTTTGTCTGGGGAACTTGGGGTTGTTTAAGTAAATTTGAAGCTAGGGACTGATGCACCAGTAGAAACTCCCATATGTTTCTGCTTGCAACTAAGTTTTTGTAACTCCTTAACTGCCCGTCCGTCAGTGTTCAATTAGTCATCAGTCAGTATTCAAAATTTCCGACTACTTTGAATCAAGATACAAATAAGGTCTAGACTGCATTTAGCTGATTTTTTTGTTTGTGTTTGCATTTTAAGATGCTTTTAATCTGCCATCCCATACTTGGTTTTCAGCCACGCTTGGGCACTTTCCTGCCTCATTCCTAAGTTGAAGGCTGAACCCGTGGTGTCTTTTAAGACGTGTTATATTTCAATTCCATATAAACTGAGAGTTAGATTAAAGCCTTCAATGGCCATTTGAATAGACACAGGGTCAGAGCCTACCGTATAAGTAACTGGGAAACGTACTTTCTATCCTGCCCTGTAGGTGATGCTGTGATTATTTGATGGCTTCAGGTGATAAGGTATTTCTTATCATAACTATAGTTTGGCAGTATCCTAATAAATACAGGCATGGAGATATCTGGAAAACAACCACCAATTAAGATACTCAATTTTTCCCTTTCTGGTCTTATCCTTTCCAGTACCACAAACCTTGCCCAGCAGTGGCACAGTTTCTATGTGCTCTGTTCTATTGGCAAGTATGCAGTCAGAGGTCAAGAGAGGTGATGTGGACAACCAATACTAAATGACAGCAGCGTCAAGGGGTTAGCATTCCATGTTTTAAGACCACCATACTTTCCACATTCTTAACTAATGTATCTAAAGCAGGGATTGATTTTATGCTGAGATTTAAAATTTACCCATAGTCACATATAAATTTTGAGAGACCACGCACATTATATTAAAGCATGTTGGTCTTGCAGCCTAAAGTTACAAATATATATATATATATATATATGTATGTATGTATGTATATATATATATATATATATACATACACACACACATATGCTTGGCAATTCAAAACAACTACACACATTCAACTGGGCTTTGTTTTTCAGTTTTTTCAGGGGGTTGCCTGATTTTGATTTTGGGGACAAGGTCTTGCAATGTACCTTTGGCAGGCCTGGTAGTCACTGTGTAGCACATGCTGGCCTTGAATTCATGGTGACTTTCCTGCCTCCACCTCTGAGATGCTAAGGTTATAGGCATTCTTCACTAGGCCTAGCTTCAACTGGGAATATTTTTTCTTTTTCTTTTTCTTTTCTTTTCTTTCTTTTTTTGGGGGGAGTTGTTTGTTTGTTTGTTTTTTGGATACAAAGTCCTCCCTATGTAGCTCTAGGTGACTAGAAATCTCTATGTAGACCAGGTTGACCTCAAATCCAGAGGTCCATCTACCTACCTCTGCCTCCCAAGTACTGCCACCATATTCAATGTTAACTGGGGATTTTTAAGAACAAAGAGAGTACCAGGACATACACAAATGCCAACTCAGCATCAGCTGCAAGATGAAGCCATGAAGGTGTCTCACAGAATCTGTTGCAGCCTCTGGGAGCCACCAAAATCAAGGAGTTTTTTAGAGCTTAACGTGAGAAGCGCATCTATTCTGGGCATCCCAAGAACACTAGCAGCCTCTGCACAACCCCGAAGCCTAAACAAGCAACAGTTATTGTCTATCCAACTCTCTCTTCTCATAAAAACCTACTTTTCCAAGTGTTTTCTCATTTTTATGCACTGGAGTGCGGGGTGGGGGGGTGCCAGGTAACAGATTTTGAATCATTAATGCAGAAACAGCCGCTGGCAATGTTTATATTAAGAGAACTTTAGCAGGTAAAAAATTTTAACCTGGAAAATGCTTAGGAGCGGATGGTTTCATGAGTGTTCTCCGAATGACCCTTACCTTGGCGCTTCCTCCACCACCTTCTGATTTCTTCTCTGGATCGAGCATTCCCTTTCATTGAGCCACAGGGCATTGCCGTGTTTGTCACCTAAGACCTGAGAAAGGTAACACTTGAGAAAACCCCAGTGAGCGTGTGTGAGCCAATGCTTCTCCACACTGCTTCCCCTGAGGGTGTACCAACTAATGCTTCCCCACATCACTTCTCCTGAGGGTGTACCAGCGAATGCTTCCCCACACTGCTTCTCCTGAGGGTGTACCAGCTAATGCTTCCCCACACTGCTTCTCCTGAGGGTGTACCAGCTAATGCTTCCCCACACCGCTTCTCCTGAGGGTGTGCCAGCCAATGCTTCCCCACACCGCTTCCCTTGAGGGTGTACCAGCCAATGCAACCCTCAGAGAATACACACAGCTCTCAAAACACATGCGAGGCCAGGCATTGGTGGTGGCGCACACCTTTAATCCCAGCACTCTGGAGACAGAGGCAGGCGGATCTCTGTGAGTCCGAGGCCAGCCTGATCTACAAAGCAAGTATCAGGACAGCCAGGACTGTTGCACAGAGAAACCCTGTCTCAAAAAAAAAAATCACACATTAGGTTGATATTAACAGAAGTAAAGTATATTTATAATTCTGGAATACAATATTATTAACAAAAGTATCTTAGGAGAAAGATTCTGATGTTGCATTTCAAGCACACAGATGGGCACATGAGTATCATTTAATAATGGCTGAAAGGTCAGAAGCCACGGTGAAAGCGAGGAAATGTCAGCGCTGCCTTCTGGTCACCACTGGAGCACTGACACATCACTGCACAAGCCTGTCTGTTGTTCTTCTTACCAAATGTCTGTTAGTCGGGAAGTGATAGTTTATGGATCTATCGCCCATACATTGTTATTTGTATGTGGACGCCTTTACTATGGCTTATTCTGTTAGAGGAAACTGGGGGGAAAAATGGCTGGGAGCTAGCCCATAACACATCATGATGCTCTCCATTTGTGATAAGAAGAAATAAACTTGGGCCACTGGGGAAGACATGGCCCTCGGCTAAAGATGAGCCATTCGGAGTTGTTCGGATATTTCTGAACACAGACTTGCATTAGAACCTCTGAGTCTATCCAGCCTCACTGCAAAGGCATTCTGTCATTCTGTTTCTTTGTGTATTACAGAGAGCTAGCAGAAGCAGCGTCTTAGTGATTTATATGGCTGGTGGAAAAAATCATATTTGCAACAGGCATAAAATCAGAGTGAATAGCTGACTGAAACATTTTTAGGGAATAAAGCCTTTCTAAATTCAAAAATCATTACAAGTAATATAGGAAAATTTTAGAGTCGTCAGATGCCAATAGATTGGCATTTTACTGCTAAGACTCCAAGGTAGCTGCATGAGGTAGATCTAAAAATATTTTAACTACTCAAAATAACTCTCAACCTCTTTATATTTAAACTCTAGTTGGCAAGGAAGTAAAAGTACACTTCGTCTCCAAGAAATAAAGCCAAAATAACCAAGAATCTCAAAAGCCCTTGAAACTGTCAAAAGAAAAAAAAAGATTCAAATACAGAATCAAGTGTTTGTTTTCTCTGATTCTATATAGTCTCCTTGTTTGCTCTAAAAAGTGTAGGGAATTTGGCACACAAGTGATGCATACAGACATATGTGCTGGCAAAACATCCATACATAGAAAGTCAAAATTAAAAGCTTGGGAAATTTATCAAGCATTTAAAAAACAACATGTAATGATATGCTGGGGAAAACGAATAAAAACACACTGAGGGGAAAGATGATCCTTAGCCTTGCAAGCCATTTCAAACTTCTACTATGACCCTTTAGAGATACATGCGCTGAATGGGGCGCAGCCACACTGCTAGTTCCTCAAGAGGTCTCATGATAATGCAAGCCCGTGAGGACCCCTGAACCCAGCCTGGGGGACACTAGTGGCTAAGAACCGTGGCCATGAGAATACAAAGCAGAGCAGAGTTATCCACCTTGCCAGTGTACACCTGAGACAGGACACAGCGTGGGACAACTCACGGAAAAAATTAGCAGGTGACTGACATGCTACAGATACACTTCCCAGGCTGTGGCATAGACATTCGAGAATGGGTAACATCACCTAAGTGCAGAACCCAGAGGGCCAGGGGACAGGGTAGAAATGGGCTTGATGTCTGTGAACTGAGATTGTAACACAGCACTGTCTGAGCAGGATTGCTGCCGTCTTCTCTAGACCAGCTGTGTCTGCTAGAAAGTGTCACCGCAGCTCTGCTGGTTCACTGATGGAGTTCCCTCATGAAGGGAGGACTGGAGAGGGCCACTGCACCTTCCCCTGACATTGCAATCATCCTTCCAGACACTTGTATATAATTCTGCCCTAATAATGTACATTTTGGGGGGGCCTAGAGCATACGGGCCGGGAAAGACAAAAAATGAATGGGTCCCACCTGCACAGCCATTGGGAAGCCATCATCCATGCTGGACGTAGACTTTTCAATGTGGCTACTTTAGGGTCACCTGCACTCATGCCCATAACCCCTCACTCATGCTCTATAAGTAAGCCTGCTAAACCATTGATTCCCCAGGGGCAACTCTGGTTTGCCAGTGGGCCTTTATGAATCAGGATGGACAGACACTGGAGAAAGAACTATTAAAACAACCCTATATACATAAACTAATACAAATAAGCTCATGGAAACTAGAAAGTGAAGATTTTTTAAAAGCCTAAGACAGATCAGATTGGGGGAAACATCTGGGTTACCCACTTAAACTACTAGGGGACAGGCTTACCTATGTTTAAAAACACAGCCCAGACGGCAGGTCAAACGTAATTAAACTAAAAGGCTAATATAAATGTGTAACAAGTTAACTAACAAAATTTGTTTAATGTTAATGAAATATTTATGAAAGGCAAAGGCCGAGCTGTTTGAACAGCAAAGGACTAAGACCTCATTTCTGCCCTCAAGGAACCATGGTCTCTCCGGAAACAGGGGCATCTAAAGATCAAGCCATGTAAGCGTGCTCCCAGGAGCAGGGCCAGGTTCTCCAACTGCATTCTGAGACAGTTTCTCACTCAGCACAAGATCTAAAGACACAAACTTTTAAGGGGATTTAGAAAAGATACCTGGCTTGAGACCAATGCAGTGTTTGTTATATGAGCAACAAATAAGTGGCCAATCAAACGTATGAAGAGGCTAACACATCACAGCGTCAAATGACCAGATATCTAGGGGGAAAGATCAATGACAGGCACATAAAACCTTCAGACTTAGAACTGTGACCATGCTTAAGACCGCTGTGTTTTGGGAGTGGGTTGCTTTATCATTTCAATCCAGACCACAACAATCTAGCATCTTAGTATCAACTGTTAGAAGGTATCTTGAACAGTACCAACCTGGATTTCTATATGACGAGGGTTATCAATGAACTTTTCTATCAGTAGTCTATCATCGCCAAAACTAGAAGCAGCTTCCTGTGATGAAAATCGGAAACCATCCCTGAGAAACAAAAAGAACAGTTACACAACTGGACCAAAGATAGTCTTCCACACAGAAAACAGTATTTGCTTCATCTTAATTCAGAATAAACTGGGGACAGACTCACTGTATATACAGAGACCCGGCTTCCACCAACAGCTCAGTGACCTTGGGCTCCTTATTTAATGTCCTGGTCATCTCCAGTTTCCCATGGAAACGAGAACTGTGTCCCCAACCCTTAAACGCACTAGCAATGCTGGAGAGACAGACCGCTTAGTAATTAAGGGCATGACCACTCTTCATGAGGACCTAGGTTCCATTCTCACAACCTACATGGCAGCTCACAACTCCAGTTCCAAGAAGTCTCATGCCCTCTTTTGCTTTCCACGGGCACCGCGTGAATGCGGGGAACAGGTGTGCACACAGGCAAAACACTCATACACATAAAACAAAAGTAAAGTTTTTAATATGCTAGAAAAATGGTATTTAAAAAAAGCACGCGTATATTTGGTTTAGAAATTAGAAGACACAAACAAAAGTGGAAAGGGCCTAGTCAGTTACACGAGTGCTGGGGTCAACAACAGTGGATCGCATCTCTGCGGGCTCTTCCGGGTCTGGAAATACAGTTGTCTCTCCAACACTACACAGGTCGTTAGTTACATCTTCTTTAAAATGGCTTAAAATACTTAAAACAGAAAAGAACAAGTTGGGGGGGTGGTAAAGTATAGATCTAATTGTTGCTTCCTATTTGATTCCTAAACTAATCTAAATCATTATTACACCACTAAAATGGGTTTACTAGACACATACAAAACGGGGTCATTTGGCCAGTTCATTTAACACTCAAACTCAGACAGGCATAGTGTTGCACACCTTTAATCCCAGCACTCAGGAGGCAAAGGCAGGTAGACATCTCTGTGAGTTCATGGCCAGCCTGGTCTACATTGTGAATTCTGGGCTAAGCAGAACAACATAGTTAGACCCTGTCTCAATCAATAAATCATCAGTCAACCAATAAAAATGAGTAAGTAAAGCTCAAACTAAGGATTCAATGAGATGGATCAACTGGCAAGGGTACCTGCCACCACGCCCAATAGCCTGAGTTTGATTCCTAGTAGCCACAGAACAGTTTCCCACAGTTGTGCTCTGACCCACACATGCACCATAGCACGTGCACACTTAGGCACACACACACACACTAAGTGAGTGTAAACAATTTCAAAGGAAGAAACACTTCAGACTTGCCTAAAGGTAATTGAAAATGTTTCTCCATTCACTTCTATATTTGGAATGTAAAATGTAATTACTTTTACTTCTGACAAAGTCTGTCTTCGCATTAAATACTTGTGTTGAATATAAAGCATTTAAGCCAGGCTCTTCTAATCCTTTAGTGTGCAAACAGTGCATCTGGCGATGTTAAACATGATTATCTGATGTGCTTGTGTCTGTACTTGAAATGCACAATACAGAAGGCAACTAGAAGATACGTTTCTAAACCTGGGGGAATTCTCCCATTTTTGCTCCTTCAGAGAAAAGGTCTTGGGTTTTCTTAGTCTGCCACTGTATCTTTGATTTAGGAAAATCATGTTCAGACTTGGGCAGACTACACACGTCACAGAAACTGGAAGTACAATAAATTGTTGTTTTCAGTACCATATGATTATTAGATGGGATAGATATTATAATTCATAAAGGGAATAACATAGTGCTTTACAGTTTGCCTCTAATGTAATGACAAAAATCTTTCTTTTTGCTTTTAAGCCAAGAACATCAAAAGTAAAACATCAAAGTCATCAAAATAAAACAAAAGTTTGAGAACATCATGGGTCTGTTTTGGAACTAAAGGAAAGTTGTGTTAAGAACATCTCTGGGCTGAGCATAGAGCTCAGAACAGAAGCTCAACACTTGCAAAGTCGTGGGCTCCACTTAACAACCCAACCGAAACCAAACACACACAATTGGTGACCCTCCTTTAGTAATCCCAGATATAATTACCAGTCACCAAACAAGGTACCTGGTACATACTTTTGTACTTGCATCTAAAGAATAGAAAATATTTGTAGGCTGTGCAAAAGGAAGTTTATTCTTAAAAATGGAAGACAGGAGAGAAGAAGCCAGACAGATATGCTGTGGCGTTAACACTTCATCATGATGGGAGACTGCCTAGAGTCACTGGACCAATTCTCTGAATTCTTCTAGACTTTTGTGTTTGTGTTTGATTTTTTTGTTTTGTTATTTTTCTAAATAAACATTAGATATGAAACAGTTTTTTTAAACAAAAGTATCCATCACCAAGCCCAGTGTCAAATTTCTGCTCACCTGCACAAGATTACAGGGATAGCTCACTCATAATGTTGAAGACAATATTTTTAAGTAGAAAGTGATAGATTTTCACTAACCACAAAAGTGTATTTTTCCTCTGTGTATTACTTACTTGACTAGAAAGGATTTATCAGAGTATGCTACATGAATACATACAGTGACTTCTGAACTCTAAACTCAAACTCATTGATCAACACCAGGGCATCCAAACCCACTGACAAGACACCCCATAAAAGAATATGCCACTTGGTCAGAGTCACCTGGAGAAATGTCTGGTAGGAGATGAGGTCATTTTTTTTTTTTTAACAAATTAAGTTGCCTAGAGTGTTGGCACACACCTTTAATTCCAACACTCTGGAACTGAGTTTGGAATCAGCCTGGTCTACATAGTGAGTTCTAGGCCAGCCAGGGATATACATATACAGTGAGACCCTGTCTTTTAAAAAGTGCTAGACACCAGGCGGGTGGTGGAGCACGCCTTTAATCGCAGCACTCGGGAGGCAGAGAGGCAGGCGGATCTCTGAGTTCGAGGCTGGGCTGGACCGACAGCCTCCAAAACAATACAGAGAAACCGTCTCGTAAAAACCAAAATAAATAAATAAATAAAAAGCGCTAGACTTCCAATGAAATGGCTACATAAGTAAAATACGAAAGGGGGAAAACAACGAGACAAAAGTCAGAGACCCAAAGCACACCTCTCTCACCAAACTCAAGCTGTCACCAGCACCCTTTCCCACCCTTCCTGTAAAGAGACCGTGTGTCTGTGCAGAGATGACGTAAGTGGGTCTCCAGCACTATCTTACCTTGCCCCTTCCTCGGGAAGAAGTGCAGTCACAGTCAAACCCCATGCTGGGCTTCAGAAGCCTGTGCCCTCTGACAACCACTAGATGATGGCGTAGGAGGAACTGTGGGATTCCTGAGACTGAGTCAGAAGGAGGCAGAGACTTTCGCTGGGATTTGAGATAACCAGAGTAACTATGTGTGTGCTGGGAAGCAAACCCAGATCCTCTGCAACAGAAGCTGGTGTTCTCCAGCCACTGAGCCATCTCTTCAGTGCCCAGTCTTCTAAAGACAGAGGCCTAGTCTCTCACTGGGACCTTCTTCCTTCAGCATTTCCCAAGAATTTTCAAGCAAAGCAGACTCGCGTGGTGTGCGTTTCATTTACGTAAACATTAAAACCATACATAATCGGTGACAAAATAACTTTAAAACAGTGCCTACACGTCTTCAACCGATTCTGCTCCGTATCCAGTCAGTTAGCAACCCTCAGTTGTGTTTTGTTTGTTTGAGACTGGGCGTCACTTCCTAGCCTTTTGACACGTTTGGTGTCAAAAAAGGATGACCATCACTAATGACTGTTCTTCAAAAATGAGTTGCTGCTACAGTCCCCTGCTACAACCTCCAGACAAACTCTCAAAAGCTTACCCGATATAGCTCTACCCCACCCAAGACCACTCTGACCCAACTCCTCCTATTCATTCATTCTTGATTTTATAAGACAGAGTCTCATGAAGCTACTCTCAATGTAGCTTCAACTCCTGAACCGCCTGTTTTCATGTCAAATTCCCCCCACCATTTTATCTCTCTCCTCTCCAGCTCCAGGATTATCAGTCTGAACTATCATTCCTGTTTTGTTGTTCTAACTGTTTTGGTTTTGTGAATTTTGTTTTGTTGTGTGTTTTTTAAATATATGTTCTGGAGATCTCAATTCAGATCCTTCATGCATGCATTTAAGTAAGTTAGTGACTGAACCATCTCTCTAGCCTTTCTTGGTTTTAGATTTGGCTGTATTATTCAGTACCATTCTAATAGATATTCATGTCACTGATATATTTATTTTCTTAGAAATTTATTTACCTCTTTAAGAATGACAAGAAAAAAACATTTGGTCAAGCAAGACAGTGCTCTGGTGAAGAAGTCTTCAGGCAAGGCCCAAAGGGAGAAGTTCCAATGGCCAAGTTCAGGGACAGATGCCTGACAGTACTGTTTATTTACACAAAGGAAATTCTCCACTATAGCTTAGGGCCCCAGCTGTGCTCTCTGAGCCACTGGAGACTTGGGGTTCTCTGGACAAGACAGCCCTCCAGGAACTCCTTAGCAAAGTTCTTAGCAAACTACTTCCAAATCACAAAACTCAAGTAATTTATATGGGAAATGCTATGATGGACAATGCCCTAACTGCTGGGAAAATGCAAGAAGAGATTTAACCAACTGTGTGTTTGGAAAAATCGAAGCTTTATTAAATAACACAGATCACTTTTGACTTCCAAAATTAGTTTTAAAAAAGTATTCTAAATTTATAACAGAATGTATTATATATAAAAGACATACAGCAATTTCAAACTCAGAAGGATAACAGTATCGTCCACACTAAAAATTATCAAAATAATCACACACTGAGATTAAATAACCTTGGTTCAAATCCTTAGACCACACTGTAAGTTAGTTATAAGGCCAGGTATTCGTGATTTCTGCCTAAAAAACAGAACAACTCTAATTTTAAAAAAAATCATAAAAACAAAACCCCTTTACCAATGTAAGACAAAATTTTGTTTTAGAAAACCTTTCTGTAATAGGATAATTATCTTCAAAGCATACAGAAGAAAGATTTCTGCACAGCATCACTTTCTCTGCCATCCAAGAAGTAAAGATTAGATGGTCCCTGTAATTACTCCATTATGGGCTTGGTATCTGTTTACCTGTCAGTTTAATAAAACTCTGGTAACTGCAATTTTCATCAAAAGTGTGTTTCAGGCAGCCTCTCTCTCACCTGGTCTCTTCGTCATCCCAAGCGATGCGCATGCCTTTCCCACCGCCACCTGCTGAGGCCTTGATCATCACAGGGTAGCCTAACAGCGGGGAAGAGCGAGACAGATGCTCAGGCTTTGATCATGTGGATGCATGAACATGACAACTGACCACATGTTCAGTAACACAGACGACAATAATTTATTTAAAAGTTCCTTTATTCAGAGTTACAGAAAACAGTTCCAACGTAATGACCTTACTATCCAAATGAGTGACATTTTAAAAGAATGGCAAACGTATCAACAAATACACTTCTCAAGTAATAAAATAAATGCTAAAAAAACAAAACAAAACAAAAAAATTACTTGGCAGAAAATTCCAAAATCAGAAACATTACGTGAAGTAGCCAATAATGAAAGTGGTTTACACAGCATGCATACATGAACACATGTGCATACACACGTTTGTGATTCCGAAAACTGCCACCTGCATGCATAGCAAATTAATTTCTCTTTCATACACAAGTGCTTTGGGTATTTTCACAGAGATAATGCCTGCAGCACTTATCAGCAAAATTGGCAGGATAGCATTAAGGGGAAAAAATGGAACATGTATACTTCCCAGAAGAGCCAGAGTTTATTGCTAACAATGGAGATAATTCTACTACTATACTTCTCTATACATTCAACAGATTGCCATGAAGATACTAAGTCAGGACCCAGTAAAGGCCATTTGCAGTTACAGTTTTATGAGAAAAGATGAAGTCATAAGTTATCATTCTACAATCTCATGTACTATATGTACAAAAAAAGTCAGTCTCAGCAGTGAGGCAGAGGCAGGCAGATCTCTGTGAGTTCAAGGCCAGCCTGGTCTACAGAGTAAGTGCCAGGACAGCAAGAGCTATGTAGTCAGATTCTGTCTCCAAATAAAAGTAAACCAAAAAAGCAAAGTCAGTCTCCTTTAAGGTTTCTCTGGAAACTCAGTGGAAATAGTCGTACAGGTTGTTCCATCTGTTATTGTCTTTGCTCGAGAAAGGAGCGGTCAGTAAGCCAAAGAGGACCCTGCCTGGCCTGTGATTCTGCAGCAGCACTCAACCCTAGCTGTGGGACCCTTACAGGAAAAAAGGAAGAAAGGAACCAAACGCAATGGACCTTTGACCCCAGCACAAAAAAAACACCACCATTTGTTTAGTAAAAACAGCACTTGCTTCTCTAGTATTTCATAACTAAATCCATTAAAATATTTATGCTATGCCTATATGAGACAGCATCTTGGAAACAACACAAGTACAGTGAGAAGAAATATAAATGTATTGTTCCTACTTTGGGGGCTTTATAATCCAAGAAGAGAAACACAAAGGACACAAATAATTTCATACTTGGAATTCAGAAGAACAAAGGAGCAGAGGAAGGTAGAGAAAAGGGATTAAGGACAGCATAACAGAAAGGGTCAGTTCCGTGACACGACGGAACACAAGCAGCCTTTGAAAATTTTTGGACAAGAGCTATAGAAATGGAACATAGGTGAGGGTGCAAGGGAAGCTTTATGAAATGAGAGAAGCAATTCAGTGGAAGTACAGACCACAGCAGGGACACAGGTGGCCAGGGAAGAGGATGTTGGCATGCTGGACCCCGCCTGGGGTCATGCACAGCGTTCACTCTCACGGTAGGTGGGTGCTACAGTCACCAAGAATGTCCACGGAGAAATCATATTGAAATAAGTTTAAAAATATACAAGTCTACTTTGGAGAAGTGAAAAAGTGTGATGTAAAACTCAAAATTGGCATTCCTACAAAATCCTGTCTGCAACTTAGGGTCTTTTTTGTTGTTGTTGTTAGACAGATGACCCATTACCACTCCCCCCAAGAGCATGTTTCTCAGCTCCATCCACATTTATTCATCCTTGCAAGAGGAAAGCAAGAGGTGAGGGGCCACTCGCCTCCCATCTCTCCACCATTTCATTCCCTGAAAACTAGGAAATCTCCTGTCTTCTTAGCCATATACTACTGATCCTCCACTATATAGTCACTTGTGAGTTTGAAAATAAGATGGAGAAGTCTTCCTTGTTCGAAGATCTCTCTGGTTAAACCCATCAATACTTGCAACCCAGGAAGTCAAGAGTCCTTGATAAAAACGTAAAAAGCTGAATAAGAATAGGCTGGGAAGGGCTGCAGGTCCAGCTCTACTTGTTGAGAGTATGTTGCTTTGGCAAAGGACTGGGTTCCATTCTCAACATCTACATTAGGTTACTCACAAGCATCTTATCTCCAGTTCCAGGGAACCCAGTGTCCTCTTCCAGCCTCCAAGGGCTCTTGCACACATGTGGTACACATAAATTCACACAAGCAAGCACACAAATAAAGATTAATTGATTTTGAAAAGAAAATGATGGAAGGGAGAGGGGAAACTGGCAGAAGTTAGTGATACTAACTCTGAGACAATAGAAAGGTCTTGCACTCAGTTTGTGGTGCTATGTAAGTCATTATATCTCAGGTGACACCATCCCATGAAGAAAGAAAACCATTCCACACAGATGATAACAAAATGAAACAGCCTAGCTCCTCTCCTACCATCTGTGTCTAACCATTCTTGGAAGGTTAAGTCATACAATACCTAGAACTAAAAATCAGAAGAAAAATATGGATTTAGTGAAAGTCAATATTACTGAAAAAATTAGGAATTACCAACAAGAAAGATGGCCATTGCCAACTCTCTGTTGCCTAGTCAAGACATGCAGTTTCCATGGACAATCTCTTATTTTTTAATCCGCTAAACAACTCCCTCCTGGGTGTGGTTTTTCTCTGAATGCATTTGTCTATCTTTATATTCTTCCATTGACATGTGTTTAAAACAGAACTACCTTCCAAATCACAACAAATACAAAGTATCTGAGGCTTTAAAGGGGGGCAATCTCCCTTCTGATACTAGGGGGTCACTTCCAATTTTCCATTTTTAAGTATGCAGGCATACATGCTTCACACGCATACACACAACTCTTGGGTTTGCTTTTTTGTTGTTGTTTGCTTGTTTGTTTGTTTTCTGAGACAGGATCTGACTATGTAGCCATGCTGGCTTAGAACTTGCTAAATAGCACGGGCCAGCCTCAGTCTACCCACCATCCTAGTTCCGGGATAACACGCATGGTTCTGCTCCCTGTTCTCACTTTTGCCGTCTTCTCTCCGGATGCATCTGGGACAGACACCAGCAACCTCCCCAAAACTCCAGATGCGCCACAGCATCTAGAGCCCTTATTTCCCATCTGCATAGCTACATGTAAATGAATACTTCCAAAAGGAAATCTACATAGTTTCTACTCGTGAGGCATGTGTGCTCAGGTACACACGACAGCAGAGAAGGATGTCCCTCAGATTGGCCAGCTTTAGTCTTTTCTTGAGGTGACTTCCCTAAACAAATTGATTATTTTAAATGAATTTAAATGCTAAGAGTTGAGCCTAGGCAAACTCAATGAAGAATGGACCCTAAGAAAGGACAGCTGCAGAATTCTGCATGGAGAAGAACGGCGGGTGCTTTGCAGGGAATGAGTCGCCGCAGCTGCACTACTGATTGTGACAGACAGCTGTGATTTGGATGTGGCCAGTCACAAAAGAGAAAGACAAAGACTTGCTTGTTCTAGATTCTGAGTTACAATGTGTTGGAATCAGAAGATACGGAAAAGTCTAGAGCTTAGGGACTTTCCCTCCAGTTGCGGGTGCTAGCTACAAAAAGAGCCAAGTTTCTTGAGCAGCTGAACAGCTGATGATAAGATGTCTACCCACATAGGACAAGATAAATAACCAGACTCCATGGCATCCAGCATGGGGGAAGGGGAGAGTTGTAACCAGGCAGCTTGAAAGCTGATAAAATGCCTAAATGATAAGGTATTCATAATTCATTTTCAAATTACATAGATTTTTAACTTTAGTTTCTTACACTGAATTTTCATACCATATAAAAACTGATGGAGAAGGGAAAGTTAAAAAAGAAGAAGAAGAAGAAGACAAAAAGCAAAATACTCCTTGGGTAATGTCTGGTTCCAACTTTAGTAGTACTGCTTAGTAATCTCACCAAGTGAAATGAGACTGGCAAAGTTATCTTTTTAAAACAGTTGGAAGCCTGCAAAGGCCTTTGTTTCCTGAAGAAAGGTTCAAAGAGAAAAGAAAATAAAAGATACTGCAGGGAGAAGAGATCCCTAGAAGGACAGAATAGCGCCTGATAATGGACAATGGGGCTCAGGGAAGAAAACAAAAGCCTTAACAAGAAAAGATCCCAGACAGGAAGGAAATCCCTGGTGAAAGTCTTGCCTTGGAATTAACAGTGGAACTGGGTGTTATGTGCTGCGTTCTGCAGACTGTTTTAAGTTCATTAATGTAAAACAGCTAATCTGCCCTTTTTTAAAGAGCTGGTTTGCTTCTGTTGTGGGGGAGGAGGTGCCCTTTGTGACTTTTTTTTTTTTTTGAAGATTTGGTCTTGACTGCCAACTTGACAGGATTTAGAAGCAGCTGAGAGACACACCTTTGGGGCTGTCTGTGAGGGAGAAGAGCTACCTTCAGAGTGGGGAGTACATTCCAAAGAGCAGCCACAGGTCCAGGAGGAAAGCAGTGTGAGCTGCCGCCCCCTCTTCCTCGTCCTGCAGGAGTGATGTCCCCTGCTAGTGATGTCCCAGGACCCAGCTTCTTTGACTGTGCAGTGTGGAATTATCACCAGCCACTCTCCAGGCAGCTCCAGGATTTAACTACCAAATTTAGATCCACTGAGGCAGCCAGCACACATGCGTTCTCTGCTTTTCTAGCATGAAACAGCCATTGCTGGCCTACCCAGGACCTGTTGCATGAGGTAATACAATAAATCCCCTTTTATGACTATGACTTGAACCTCCAGGTAAGATGGCAGTCTAAAGACTGCCTCTGCGTGAGCCAATGGAGGACAAAGTCGGGATAAGAAAAAGGGGATTTTATCCCAAAGATAAAAATATGGGGTGTACTGGTAATCCATGAAGGAAATGAAGTAGTGCCAGGCAGAGAACAAAAGGAAGACGTACCACGCAGAGAAGGGAACCGAACCCTGTGTCAGCTGCACAGCTCATCGAAAGACTAATGGGAAAT